GAAACTGTCATTTGAAGGAGAAAGCTCTAGATCGCATTAAGTGGAGGAATTGTTTTGGAAGAGACTGTGGACCTGTCGTCTGTCAGGTTACTGATGATGATGAGTGGAGGGTAGAGCCCAACCGGGTTCACTCGGCACGGCGGCCACTGATTGGCCTATTGTAGCCTGCCCCGGGTGATTATGATGATGGATTTGGTGCAATGAAGATTGGCAGGGGAAACCGAACTACTCGGAGAAACCCCTCCGCCCCAGAGCCACTTTTCCACCACAAATCCCACTTGACAAGACCTGGGCCGCCAACGACTAACAGCTTGAGCTATGGCGCGGCCATAGTAGANACTGGTGTCAGAAGTGGGATCAGTAACGAAACACGTTACAATATGTACGCATTTTTAGCGGATTTCACGTATCGTATGAGAAAAGTGTTTGATTTCATTATGCACGTGTGTGTTATGCACCTTCCTAGTAATCTTGACGTAACGGAGGGAGGTGCTTTTCTTTTGGTGTCAATATCGTGTCGCTTAAAGGTCACTGTTTCTCGTATTGTTGTCCTGGCAACATTTTGGCCGTGGGAAGTTTTAAATTGATGGCGCTACTAGCGACGTGTAATAACAAAATGGCCGACAGTACAAATGTGTATAAAGTTTTATGGCTGACGAAGATACGTAATGGGGTAGCTTTAAAGTGAGGGATGTGTGTATATTATGTAGATGTGTTATAAACAAATCTGTGAATTATGTATAAAGCATTTGTGTATATGTTAATAAGTACAAACATGGAGACAGAACAAATATATATCAGTGTCATTCATGAGGAAAGTAGATAATAATGTGTAAAGGAAAGGCAAGGTAAAGTTGTCCCTTTGCTTAACTAATTAAGCACTACGCCATGAAGACGTATATGGGGGTGGATGTATAAATCCACATTTTCTTCACCTCGACAATAGCTGGAAGTGAGTGGTCAGCTTAACGCCCCTGCCGCTTTACCCCCGGGGAAGAACCCTCGCTTCCCATTGGATAGGAGACTGGGTGGGCCCCAAAATAATAATATGCATAATTATTAATTTACACTACATGAATATTGTATTGGATATTGCTTATTTTATTATTCGTATCTGACCTAGCCTTTCGGAAGCTGGGTCTGTTTCCTTCATCATGTATAACGAAGAAAGGATCCTACCCAGCTGGGCCTATTAGAATTATCAGTGATCTGCGTTGTCTCTGTTTAATGGGTCCAACTACGAAGCTCTTCCCATTTCACTTGACGATTGAAACGTCTTATTCGTTGTTCATTTAACTACGATCTCAATAGCTAAGATTATACAACGTCGATTGGTAGGATGGGTAGTGTACAATGAAATGGAAATTATGTGGCAGGAAGTTATCTTAGCCTATTTCAAGGTGATGTCCCATTATTCGCCTAGAAGTTCTGAAGGAAACTACAAAGATGTGTCCAAGTATGAGTTCAAATATTTCCCTTTAAAACGTCTTAGGGGCTTTTTGCTGGTAGGTTTTCAAGAAATATAATTACAGTAAATTGTTTCGAATGTACTTACCGAATTTTAATAACTGCTACTTCTGAATTGACAACATTTAGCAGCATGACTGCAAATATAAGGATACTCTGCAAAATCTGTAAGTAAGAGTACAAGTTACTTTTACAGGCACCATAGACTGCATAGAAACAGCACCACTACTAACCTAACCAATAGCTTCATCTTGAGTTTCATTCAGTTACACGAACAATCTTTCCTTCTTCATCTTTCACTCGAGCACACCTGATTTATTTCTCCGAAGAAGAATTTCAAGACTGTCGAAGCTACAACAGGAGCAAAGTCGAAGAACCGAACAAATTATACAAAATAAATGATATAAACTCCGTCTCAAGTGCAACCAATATATTTTGTGTCTTTGATCTTGCTCCCTACACTACATGTTTCGGCCTCAGACGGCCATCATCAGGTGTATAACACTCACGTCGCTGTCACACTGCACCCAGTTCAAAATTTAACATCTAAAACACTCTCCCTGTCATTATCAACTTCTACTTCGTTGATAGCTGTCCACCCGTAGATTACTTCACACACGTTAATTTTGACTTTATTGTAATAGCACCATAATAAAATCTTTAATTCTAATTTTAACCCTTAAATTCTTGTCCAAATTTTAAAATTTTAAAATTGTTAGGGTTATTCGCCCTGTGTTTGAAGTGCAGCACTTCACCAATTGCTCCACAATCACTCTCAACTATCACCTGGTGCTGGTACAATAGGCCAGAAGTGACCGCAGTACAAGGGACTTAGTCCCACCGCATTAGCAAGAAGGAAAAAACTTGAGAGCCATTTTAACGTTTCCTCCTATCTACCCTTTCTCTCTCTCTCTCTCTCTCTCTCTCTCTCCTGTTTCCAGCACTTTGGAGCATAGGGCATCCTTGAAACGCTTTTTTTTTCACTTCAGTTTCTTAATCCTAAGACAGTAGATTGGACTCCTTAGACGAGGGATCAGCCCGTCAATAGGCTACAAAGAACCTATCTACAAAGACCAGCACAAATACACACACAAACATCCATACCTTGAGTGGGATTCGAACCCACGATCACAGCTTTCGAGCGAGCGAAGACAATTCATGCCTCAGACCTCGCGGCCATTGTGACCGCCATCATACAATATCAATAAATAGTCTTTATCTAAATATGTTTTAATATGATTCTCCCAATAGTAACAAATATTTTGTAATTGCCCCCAATCCTTCGAAACGTAATTTATGACAGCACACTAAACGGTTACATTCTGAGCAATTCGACACGTGTGACTCGACGCCGATTAGCGTAAGTATTTCCACGGAATGCTAAATAATCAGCGACTCGTTTAGTGATAAGATTTTGTATCTTTGTTCTAATTCAGTTGCTGTAAGTCACGGAATTGCGTCACACTGACGTCACTCCCTCAACTACACTACTTCTGCTCTGCCAAGTCAGTACTGCCCTCAAATAAAAAGTTTCTAATGTATGCATACGGCCTACAAAAATATACCTTTTTTTTTTTGCTTTATATCTTTTCTGGTTCTTACCACGGGCGATATTTTCTTGAAACTCTTGCATGAGTACATGTTAGCCATGTCTGTTAAGTCTGTGTGCAAGCAGCCCACTTCCACTACGCACTATCAATGGGAGCAGTATTTGCAATCATAGCCGGCTTCATTCAGTGACATCCACTATTCACAGGACTAACCTTAAACCCCAAATGACTGAAAGCACAATTCATAGCAATATCTGTAGGGGTAAACATAACATTCTTCCCACAACACTTCCTAGGGCTGGCAGGAATGCCTCGACGATATTCAGACTAGCCGGATGCTGTTGGCCATCCGAAAAACGGTCACTTTTGCTTGTTGCTGTATAGATCTGAGCTGTGAGATTACTTAGGCCTCTGAATTGTTAATAACTGATTACCGTTACGGACTTCAGAACGTTACTGATTTGGCAGTAACTGAACATACGTCAGCAATGACTCAATAGAATCCTATTCGACACATCCTTCGTTTTGTAACATTAGAATTCTAAAGAAGGTTGAAGCGGAATTACCGCTGCGTGATTTTCTTTTGTTTTTCAATATTGTGATATAGCCATCTGAAGTGTTTATGCTGTTGGACATTTAAGACCCGGGGTTCACAGGTTCAAATCCTGCTTCTGAAATTGAAGTTTATGCGATTTTTTGAAGGGGTTGTTTTGTCCTGTACAGGCAAAGACCTTGTGATAGGCTATTGACCCATTTCATTTGTTTTGTTTCTTTTTCTTTAGTAATGCTTACATTGCAATTAGCATTTGTGCTGTTAAGTTTGCAAGTAAATGAATAAGAATTGAATTATTATTTACTCTAAGCGGCCTCCGTAGTCTAGAGGTAACGTTCCCACATCATGACTCGTAGTACGCGGGTTCAAATACCCGGCGGAGGTCGTCGAATTTTTAAGGGGGGAAAAATTCAGGGAACAAGTCCTCCGGGAGGGACTTTAAGCCGTGGGTCCCGTGTCGTAGATTTACGGCACGTAAAAGAACCTCATGTGTCTAGGAGACCTCTGAGCAAAATTAGGCCAAGTTTCACGCCCAAGTAGTTTCCAATTCCTCCGGTAGATGGGGGAAGTATCAGGTACCACTGCCAGAGGAGGGGGGACCTCTCTGACAGAAAGGGACTAAAGTATTAGATACTGCCAAGTAGAGGGTAGAAACCTTGCTGGCAGAAAGGGGCTGATAGTAAGCACCAGTACCGGTAGGGTATGGAGACAGTAGAAATTAAAGGGACACACACAATGGACCAGTAACCGGTCTAAGTGCATGGGGAAACCCACCCCCTCAATACGGAATACGGAATTATTACTGCTACAAGTGCCATGTGTTTCGACATTATACATCGTCTTGTCTATTTTTTAAAAACCGTCCTCTTCCTATTTTAAAACACAGCGTTTCGGAGACTGGAGATAGCGGCTAGTTCTGTCTATTTGACCCAACTGAGTAGGTTTTACCTGAGGACGGGGACAGAATCCAGTCTCCGAAACGTTGTGTTTTAAAATAGAAAGAGGACGGTTTTTAAAAATAGACAAGACAATGGATAATGTCCAGAAACATAGTATTTGTTGCAATTTACCATCGTCACAAACGTTTAGAACTTATTATTACTATTACTGCTGTTAATTTAATGTCTATTAATAATTTTTAAAGATTATTTAAATTTGCTGTTCACAGTAATGTTTAATATCACTTATGTTTTCACTAGACCTAAATCTTCCATCACAAATTTGGTAAGTTATCTTCATTTTATCGCCCCTTTAGTCAGCCCTCAACTCCAAGATAATGTCATTTATTTTGAGCTTAGCAACGCCTTTGACCTTAACTCCTATAGCCTCTTTCTTTATGTTTTTTTTTTTGTTTCGTGGGGTTGAGTGAGCTGAGCCCACATGGTGCGTCGATCACTAACTGGCCTATTGTACCAGCCCCTGTTGATAAATGAGTATGCACTGAAGTGCTTGGATGAAACCTTTCCCAGTGCCACTTTATTCACGTCAAATCCCACATGATATGACCTGGGGTCGAACCCGGACCGCACCAGTGATATCCCGGCGGCTACTATCGCACGGACTTCTACATAAGTTTGTTCTTCCTGGTGGCTACGTAAACTGGTTCCGCAATTACCACCACAGGTACGTGTTACTGGGTTTTGATTCTTTGTCTTTTCAAGTACTTTCTAATGTTCCTCAGAGATCTGTTCTGGAACCTCTGCTATTCAATTCCTTTATTAATAACTTATATGACGTAAATAACAACTCCAGATATCTAAAGCCTTCTGAGTATATCAACACGTACAGTGCCTGTAAATCTCTGAAGTCTGCAATTTACTACGGTCTGACATTGACTGTATATGGAAATTTGCCCTCCCAACTGTACGAAACTGAAGCTTAAATTATATATATATATATATAGCTACAAAGGTAAAATTTTGAATCGTGTATAACTCGCACACACGTCATAAAAACTGGGTATATTTCTGGAATCTGATCTACACTTTCTTGCGAATTACACGTAGCATTTCATCAGTGCAGGAAGTCGCTGATTTCAGTTTCTCACTCCCACTCCTGGAGCGTCTGTGTGTGTCTTCACGCTCTTTAAGAGTGACTATAGATGGATTTTGGATTGATGGCGGATTTATTCAACTCTAATAACACAACACTTTGAAACACTTTAAAAATCATTGTCACATACAGACTTGTGTTCTGAGTCTGTTACAGTCTCCACTAACCGTTACTTGGTAGCGACTTTCAATGACGGATATTCCCCTTTCTCTGGGTTCTCGAAAATTTTCCGGCCTCAGCTACCAGTTTCTCACAGACAAAACCTCACAACGGCTGTACCGCAGCAGTCCTCTAAGTCAGCGCTTCTCAACCGCCGGGCAGCGGCCCAGTAGTGGGCCCTGGCATCAATTATACTGGGCCGCGAGAGGCTCTTCTGGAATTTGTCATTTTCATTTTCTAAGCATTTTTCATGAATAAATATTTTATAGTGCAAATATTCTGAGGAGAATAATATTTGTGTCGAGAAGCTCAGACACAGAACACCTAAATCTGTGTAGCAAATGTCAGTGACCAAGCCGCATATTTTTAAACATGGAAGTATTCATGAATGATCGGAAATTTTCAGACATCCAAAGCTTTCAACATTCGGGAAAGGCAATACCGATGTTTATGGCCAGTCATAAAAATTGCCTGCAAGCCGATTACAACAATGGGCGGCATATCCTCTGTTCTCAGAACTGAGCGAAATAACATCTGTGTTGCAAATGTCAGTGACCAATCAGCAAGGAAGTATAAAGAAAATGTTTCCACTGAAATTGAAAATCAAGGCAGTCTGTATCCGGTTCTCAAATCTTGTAATACTGAACACTGTTTCTTCGCAAGTTCGCATTGCAGTGTGTCAAGTGCTTGTTTCGAAATCTGAGTTATTTAAATTTTAATATGAATAAGTGACAGGGTACTTTGTTTAATTTTGTCGTTAAGAAATCTCGTATTGAAGGTGTTTGTGACGCAACAAGTAGTGATTCAGCCACCTCAAGCCTACATAGCGACCTCCAGGATGTACAAAATGAAGGGGAAACCACCAGCACACAGAAGAAAAACTCTGCATCCATTCGTAAGTACATGGACAGCTACTTAAAATTTGGTTTCATACAATGCCCTAACACTGACCAATTGCCACGACCTCAATGTGTCATTTGTGCTACTGTTCTGGGAAATGAAGCTATGAAGCCATCTACTAACAAACAGATAAGTAATTTAAATGTAATTTTATGTTTGTCAACATGCAGCACCGTATACGTAAGCGTACTAATACTCTTTATGATTATGCTGTAATTAATTATTAACATTACGTTAGCTTAATGCATGAATTTTAACAAAACTGCAAAGGTATTTACGAGTAAATTTGTTGGGACTGGGCCCTCGTCTTATAAAAAAAGAACTTACTGGGCCGCGGTCTCATAAATGTTGAGAACCACTGCTCTAAGTAACTCACTCGCCATCATACTCTTCACTAACTCCAGTGATCTGTCCTGCTTATAACATCTCTGCACGGACAGCAAAGAAAACACCGACCCTCCATTGTAGTGCAGTTGTTGCCGTGGAAATATGCTTGCTTATGGAGGCAGTGCTTAGCGACGACTGTTATATAGTCGGTTAATTTCGTGGTCTTTGCCTAGGAACGGGTTTACGTGCCATAATATTATATTTTACGTTAGTTAGATTTAAGTTTGATTATGCCTTTTGTCTGGAATACTATTATGCCTGCTGATGGTAAATAATTGAAACTTATCCAGGAGAAGCTTTCAGCCATTTCTTTAGTAATTTCTTTCCCGTGTCCATTTCTGTTGAGCTTTAGAGCAATTACAATTGCACGACTTACGTAAGAAGAGATCGCTTTCCTTATTCAAATTTACCTGGGTTTCAAACTTTGACCTTTTTTGGAAACTTTTGGTCTTTGACTTTCTACGCAGTATCATCAGAGACTTCTGTTCTTCAAGAGAGAACTTTCTTTCTGCTAAATGCGCTTCAGCTGCTAATGTTGTTTGTAGAGACGTCGACATATCTAGATCCAAATCTGTTTCTCTTAATCATATTTTATAACGTCACGTTTAATTACTGAAACATTAGTTGTAGTGAATATGAATTCATGTATATAGATAATTGTTTCTCATCAAGTGTTGGTGGACATGACTCCACTTACTGAAATTTTATTGTTGTTTAAGTGATACAAGTTGCATTGTTTCGTCTTTCATTTGAGTGTATTTTTTTCCCTCGTGGGTAGTTGGGCCGTTGGGCTGAGTAAACTCATGAATGACTAAAGAACTATATTTAATTGTGTTATTTATTTGGTGTCTGAACAGGAACGTCAGTTTCGGGCACGAATATGGTAAATTTCCAACCAATTATTTGTGTGTTCCAACAGAAAAAAAACAAACAAACTCGTGTTTTTTGTCCGCAAGCGAGCTATATCGACCGAGCGACCGCCGCTTGTCAGCGAAATTAGTGCCAACTTCAGGGGATAGAGGGTGTCACGTGGTCAGCGCAACTGATCCCCACGGCCGTTAATCTCGGTTTTCTAGACCGGAGCCACTATTTCTTTGTAATAGCTCCTCAATTATTTCTGTGTTCCATCGTGCATAATTTTTAACCGAAATTTCCATATGGACATACTAGCAACATTTATGCATGTGAACTACTCTTTGTAGTGTACAGTGCACTGTTTTCTGCGAATGTATTGCTGAACTATCGCTGCGCAGAATGAGGAAAGGTTAAGCACCTCTGTGTGAGTGCCTTCACTGAGAGGAGAACAAGGACCACTCTAGTTACGTAACAGGCCATTTGATTCAAGGTAACACACATTAATAACTTTCACAATAGCCTGTCATTTGTCTATCCGTCACTCTGAAACTTGTTCACGAGAATCCAGTTTGTCCTCAGACCCGCGTTAGTGTTTTGGCGCTAGATATTAAAATATAGGCATATTTGTCTAGTTCGTTCTTCTTTTAAATAGAGGGCTACTGTAAATGATTCATTCGTTTTTAAAACGATATATTTTCCAAAGTATTACACATACAAATATGATTGATATATACAAAGAACCGTAGACTCACTAAGTTTTGTATTATGTGCACTAGTTGGCAGTACGGGTTCAGTGCCTTTGCAAAATGGCGACAAAGCAAGAAAAGAGTTTTTGTTTGTTGGAATATGCGAGATGTTCGTCTGTTATAGCAGTGCAACGCGCATTCAAAAGAGGGTACCGAAAAGAACCGCCATGTAAACAAAGCATTTTGCGATGGTATCAGC